CGCACATAGTGTTCAATTTTCTATCTTAGAATTAACTTACTTTATTTTACGAACTACTTAAAGTTCAAACTTTCAACTGTGTGTGAGAATGAGAGTGTCGACGGGTACGCGTAGTTCTTAGCTTGGTATCCTTTTTCAAAAGTGAGAATTTTCTTTGGAAAAGGATACCAATTACCAGGTCCCACCACGAGGAGGTGACTACGCAAGGGACCCGACAAAAACACATGCCCTACTGGCAGCTCTCTATCTTCAGAGATGCGCGATTCTCATTCGTAGCAAAGGAGATAAGACACTTTATCAAAAATTCGTGTTCTTAACATAAATTTTTAAGGAGTGTCTTATATTTTATTTGAAATTGCAACGCTAATCATTTTGTCATAGTTAATTTAAAGATTGGAAAAATTCAATGCTCTCCTTTGATAGGGTTTTAAAAAATTATAAATCGCGGTCAGATTGAATTCAGAGCGCAACGAGAAATTCGCTATCATTCTAAAGAACCAGCGAGCATACACGACGAATTTACTCGCGAGTATCGCGCGCTACTCGCGAGTGATTAAGTCGCGAATAAACTCGCAGGAACTGAGTGATCGAGAATTTAATGTTCTATGTTTCGAATCGACGATAGTAAAATGTAGAAAGCATTTTTAGTAATTAGCTACGAATGAGAAACGCGTATCACTGTAAGAGAGCGCGCACATTGTACTCGATACAATTTTTCTATCTTATAGTTACTTATTTTATTTTATGGACTACTTAAAAGTAAAACGCACGCATCCCACGACGTCCATCGGCGGATGAATAGAATTATTTTTTATTTTCTTAGGCTAATTTATTTTACCTTATCAACTGCAATCCTTAAAATTAAAACTCACACACACTTCGCTTACTTGCTAGTTTAATTTTGGAAAAGGAGCATTTTGAAGAAATGACGCGAATTGCCTAAGATTCACCACTAACAAGATTCGTCATTACGTCAATTATTCGAATTTGTATTCGATAAAGGACGTCGAGGATTGGTATAGTTCCTGATTTTGTAATTGAACTAAAATTCGAAATAGTTGGTGGAAACTGTAGAAGCTTTATTATAAATTGGAATAGATCGATGGGCTATTGTGGAATAATAATTAGCAGTGACAATTGTTTGACACAGTTACCTATGGGTTACCACAGAATGTTCATTAAGCAAATCTCTCGCATCAATTATATATTTTCGTTTTGTAATTTCGATAAATTCTGATATATCGTCGATACTTTGAGAAAAGTATTGTTCTAGCTAAAGGAATACTTGTAACTTCTGAAAATTAGTAAAAATGAAGAAATTAGAAATTTTGTAACTTCTGAAAATCAGTAAATTGGGTTATTCATTGCAAATAAATAAATTACGAGTCAGTTTGAATGATCCAAAGCCAGAGTTGAATGACCCAAAGACCCACCAGACTTAGGAAGCTGTGGAAGTGTCGCGCGAAATTGTGTACGGATCGCGATTTCTTTCAAGTGTAGTTTAATTCGTTGAATTTTATTTAGTACCCGAAATCGCGAATTTTTACCATCCTCCATTTTCTCATGTAGTCCATTTTAGATGGGGTATTTAGCAAAGGTTTAAGAAAGGTATCAACTGAACGCTCTGAAAAAAAGAAAAGAAAAGAAAGAAAAAGGGATGAAGCTATTATGAAACGCGACGCGACGTAATAAATTCTCGTATCGATCGAAAATAATGGGCATTCGTGGTGAAAATTGACTCTATTAAGAATTAACGCGGTATACTATTGGGATACTCTAATAATGGGAGGGCGTTTGCACCTTTAGTGCAGTAGAGTTCGGATGTGAACTCACATCCTTCGATTTCTTCTTCCAAGTTTGGTAGTTCAGCTTCAAACATGCACATGCACACACATATATAACCAATCACCAAACCCTCAAAAAATTCACTCACAGTTCGCAGACAGGCAGCTGGGCTCTGCAATGTCGATTTCGTTGCATCCTTCCTTCCTTCCTTCCTCTCAGATGGTCATCCTTCCTCCAAGCGTTGATTTTCCAAGACTCACAAACTCACGAATTGTGAGTCACTGTGGAATGGGCGACGCGAAAAGTGCTTCGAAACGCGATTTATTTAGAGAGGGAGAAACCGCGAATTTATATTACTTTAGACTCTACTATCGAACAAAACTTTCATAGAACGCGAGTGAAAAATTGAAACAAGCATGAAATAAACGCGAGTAAATTGAATAAAAAGCAAAAACGCGAATTGGGAGGAAATATGAGATAAACGCGGAAAAATATGCAATAATAAGTCGAACTAGGGATGAAGCTATTATTTCAATACGCGATTCACTGACTCTAATATTTTGAAAAATTGAAAACTTCTCGTAAAAATCGATTATTAATTGCGAAACACTAGTGAGACGGTTTAATTAGGGGCAGCACAATATATAACACAACTAACTACCCATATCACCAGAAAAAAAAACCCATTTTTGTCACTCACAATTCGAAGATTAGGCAGCTGGGCTCTGCAACTTGGATTTGACTGCATTGCCTCCTTCCTTCCTCTCCCAGTTCATTTCCCAAGACTCACAGACTCACACTTTGTGAGTCACTGTGGAATGGGCGACGCGAAAAGTGCTTCGAAACGCGATTCATTTAGAGGGGGAGAAATCGCGAATTTATATTACTTTAGACTCTACTATCGAACAAAACTTTCATAGAACGCGAGTGAAAAATTGAAAGAAAGTATCAAATAAACGCGAGTAAATTGAAAGAAAAGCAAAAACGCGAATTGGGAGGAAATAGTTAAACGCGGAAAAATATTCAATAATAAGCGAACTAAGGATGAAGCTATTATTTCAATACGCGTTGCACTGACTCTAATATTTATCAAAATTGAAAATTGATTTATCACGGTAAACTACTTGGACGGTTTAATTAGGGGCATAGTGCAACGAGTACAGTGCACTCGTTGCAAATCAGCTCACAATATACAATTCAATAATGTAACTAACTACTTAACATGCAAAATTCATGCAACTCCTGCGAAGAATTAGATTAGTAAATCACAATTCATGAAACAAATTCAAAAT